GCGAGGTCAATGGATCTCAATGAAATTCTCTGGGTATGTTCCTTTGCACATTTCTGTCATTTGTGGCAAATTTTAGTTTTGAGAGATGCACTGATTATTTGCAAATGAATTTTAAAGATTGCCTCGAAAAGCTCACCTCGCTTGCCAAAATTATTGGCGACACTGTCTGTGTGACGTCATGTTTGGCCTGTCAACGGAAGCGACGCAGCCGATGGCATCGCTACTTTGGCTGCTACAGCGTTTATTGTGCGGCCACAAGGCAACGGCGGCAGTGTTTGGCACAGGTATAGCACAGAAAAGCTTTCTTCCTTCCTCTGTGCTCTTTGGCCGGCGCTTCGCTAGTCTGGCTTTCACAGTTTTCATACTCCGCGCCGGCAGGACTTTCAAATCATTTTCAAATTTCCTGAGCATTTCAGGTATTGTGCTCATGACAAGAGTGTCTCAGGAACATAGAAACATTACCTTGACATGGTTGAAAAATCGCCGGAGTTAGTTTTTAAGGGGAGATGTGGGTTGAAAATTGAGTTTTCTTCTAAGTTACAGATTTTTTATTTTTGCCTGTTTAGATAAGATTGGTATTCATACTGCCCTGAAAAAAAAAAAAAATGCATGTAGAGACTGAACTGGAAATGCTTTAAAAATTGAGTCTAAAGAGCACAAGGTGCCTGTTAAAAGGCTAAAAGTGTGCAGTCTTTGAGCACCTTGCCACCGATAATGCGCGGCCGCTCGCCATTTTTGATCGAATGAGGCGAAAAGTCGAGCCTCACTGTTCAAATGAGTTTCTCTCGCTGATGCGGTGCAAGAAATAATAAAAAGAAGCGCGCTCTTGCGCGTTTTTCGAGAGCTGCGACTGGGTTATCACGTGGTACGGATCTGGGACCACCATTGGCCATTGCGCGCCTGTATGTGCAGTGAAGCCTACATGCGGGGTCCATGTCTTGACAAGCAGCGTAGCTGGACAATGCTTTTCTCGTGTATTTATCTTCGTTATAAATGAAAAAAGCCGATGCTCGCGTGTGAAAGCCATTGTGGCTGCGTGCCCCGCCGCGGTGGTCTAGTGGCTAAGGTACTCGTCTACTGATCCGCAGGTCGCGGGATCGAATCCCGGCTGCAGCGGCTGCATTTCCGATGAAGGGGTAAATGTTGTAGGCCCGTGTGCTTAGATTTGGGTGCACGTTGAAGAACCACAGGTTGTCGAAATTTCTGGAGTCCTCCACTACGGCGTCTCTCATACTCATATGCTGGTTTTGGGACGTTAAACCCCACATATCAATCAATCAATCAATCGTTGTGGCGGTGCACTCTGTAGGAGTAAGCTACAAGCAGCTGGTCCGATTTGCGGCAGTTGTTGGATTGCAAAAGCCAATGCATCAAAAGTAATTCACAGCCATCAGTCGAAAAGTTCGTGATGCGGCAATGGATGACGTCAGCGCCAATCTTGTGAGGTCGAAGGAACTTAGAGGGGATGACATTATTTATGTACGACGGTATGTGGCACAAACGTGGCCGCAAAATTGCATCGGCACTGTTGTGTCCCTCGACACTGGACTTAGTTTAAGTTTCTTAGTCCTGTTGAACTTCTTCCTAGCTTGCACTCGGCACAAGGCTCTGCCTAATGGAGTGGAAGAAGTTTGTCAAGCGTTTCATAGCCATGTCTGTGAGGAGTCTGCTCGAAAAAGCAGAAGGGGGCAAACTCGTGGTGCTGGCGTATTTTAATGGCAGCAGCCACTATTAGGACTGTTCTTTTTGGTATGCAAATTTCATTGAATTTAATGACATCTTTCATAAATAAAAACTCAATTTTTGAGTATTTTAACTTTAAAACTCGTTTTTCTCAAAACACAAAATTTAGTCATTTCTGTGTGCCCCTTTTTGTCGGCCACTTCTAGTGCTCTTATCTGCATGAAATTTTTCCCAAACGTTTTCCAAAGTATAGCAAATACACTTATCTAATTAAAATTTCAATATTTTATTATATAATGAAAAATTGCTTGTAAATCTTTACTAGGATAGTTATTTTTCACGCCTATTACATATTTTGTATGTGCTTCCTAATTAGTTATTTGCATTCCACACTTTATTTGAAACATTATGAACCGTGAATGGTAAAGGGATGAAAAGAGAGGGGGGGATGCAAAAGGGTTAAGGTCTTCAATTTGTCATGTCGCAGAGATGAAAGTTGCGCAACTTGCAAGAAAACTTACATAATATAAATCAGCATACTATGTTCCATAAACAGCTCAAGTTTTATTGCTCTAGGGTGAATATTAAAAAGTGTCTTCAAGTAGCATCTCCCCTTAAAGCTTGCAGTACTCGAGTAGCATCTCCCCTTAAAGCTTGCAGTACTCGAGTAGCATCTCCCCTTAAAGCTTGCAGTACACTTGACACTAGCATGTCGCTTTTCGTAGTTGAAGGCCGACTGTTGAATATTCTTGTGCAATTGAAATTTTACAGCGAAAGCTGTTATGACATCGCAACTCGCGTCTTTCGCAGGTGTCGGTAACCACATCGCGTGAAATTAGAAAAAAAAAAAAAAACTAGCACCAATGACTTAGCTCTAACACGGGTCCGCTGGGAGCCAGCCCAGTATTCTACCACTGAGCTACACCGGTGACTTGCTGTCAAACTTGCCTAAGGCAGGCTTGATGTCTGCAAAGCAATCGCATTATTTCGACTTGTAAAGCGCTTTAAAACAGTGGAACAACCAGTTGTCGCACAATGCGAATAGCGTAACGAGTTGGCCGTCCAATGCTCCAACCCATCACAAAAGCTTGTTCTCGTTCCCCTATGAACTATGGCGCATACCCACTTCAGCCATATTTCCTCATCGTCGTCAGTCACTGCATGACCAATTGGTACAAAATTCCTTGAAAATGTTTAGCAGATACAAGTCTCAGAAGGACGAAAAATAGTGTAGTGAATGCCGGCCCACTACACGAATAAATTTATTAAGTGACCTAGTGGGCATGAAGCAAGTGTGCTTGCAGTAGTTACCCAATGAGTGTTTCGAAAAGGCCCTGATAGGCCGCTCTTCTAGCTTTCGCTGTGCCTGTGCTGCACCTTTGTGCGACTCTGCTGCACAGGCCTGGCGTTTTTTTTTTTAATTCTTTGTGAGTGTGATGGTCTTTTTAATGTTTTTCGGTGAACCTAGGTTTCCTAACTTTTTAAAAAAATATTTCATGTTTTTACAAGGGCTTGATAGAGGTCACATGGTATGTAAAAAGGTAGTACAGTTCATACCTGGCGATAATCTGCTCGAAAATGTTCTTCAAAGTCTGTTTTAGTGTTACCTGTATTATAAGCCAATTGAAATACAGTTGAACCCCTTTATAAAAGGGATGCTCCAGGCAGCAATTGTCTTTTATACAAGATGTCTCTTATAAGCAGGCTACCTCGTATGCATTTTCTTATCAACCTGTATTTTGCTATACGCACACTGGTGTGTCTCATACCCATTTGTCCCTTGTATCAGTGTCTTATACAGGAGTTTGACTGTATGCACTAGTGCTGCCACGTTGCTGAAACTGTTTTTTCAAGTTCCTAGGTTGACATATTAAATGCCGCTAACTGCTCCAAAGCAAGGTTCATCTGCTCCAAAATTGAAATTTTGCTGCTCCAAAAAATGATCCCAATTCAGTTTCAGCCATCTCACTCCTGCTTATGTACCAAATTCATGTCTATAAAAACATTGCATAGTATATCTTATGCCTGTGCCACACGGGCATAGAAAATGACATTCGGTAGCGAAGGCATTCAGTTCCCGAATGATTTTTTTTTTTTGGCGGCGCTGCTACACGTCCAAAGTGAATGACATTTGACTTGATGATGTCGATCGCAGCACCTTCCTCGTGAGCATTGGGTGAGTAGCAACAAAAAAATAAACAAGCGTTTACAAGCTTCATACACATCGGATAATAATTAAAAGTATAAATAAGCATATTATGCTGCCGTTAGATTTCATTCGTTACTTTGTTTCATGACGTTGCAACCAACCGTGTAGCAACCTAAGCCAAAGCTATTCAGATCTGCAGCGCGAAAAAAAAAAAAAAAATGCGCTTGTTGCATTCATTTTACAGCGTCTACGAGTTGAAGAGAAGTTTTTAAGCAGTTGTTTAAGTGATTAGTGTGAATAAAATACGCGAAAAGTTTCTCTCTAGTCGAATCAAGTGTCGTTTTATACAATTACTTTATCAGCTGGGCCGTCGAGAGTACGCATTTCTCAGTTGAATGAGTTCTGGCGATGGCGATGGCTTTAGGTGACGAGTGGCATTTCGGTGAATGCCATTTCAATGCCATTTCGTTAATCCGTGTGGCACTGCACGAATGACCTTCCATCTGAAGGCATTAGGGGGTAAATGCCATGTTCTCTGCCCATGTGGCAGGGGTATTAATATGTCAAGTGTAGTTAATGTACCTTTTTGGTAAAAAGGTCTGTTCCTAAACAGTGTATAAGCAAATCAGTGCGTTCACGTAATTTTGAGTGCACGTTTCAAAATCATGTAGTATGTAATAAACAAAAAGCACATAGGTTATCAATTTGAATAGTGCTGTGTATATTTGTGTTGATTTGCGACTAATCTCAGCTTGTCATCGACTCATGACCAAACATTCAACTGTCTGCCACGGTGGATCAGTGGTTAAAAGGGATACTAAAGAGAATGAGGTTTAGAGTGATAACTTCACTCTGAGAAATCTATTGTCATAAGTTCATTGTTAATGGTGCAAACTAAACTATAAAGAAACTTACAAACTATAAAACTATAAATAATTTTCTTTGCTATGTCCGCGCATAATGCAAGGAATTCCACAATGCATTTTTTGTATTTTCTAAACATTGGCTCGACAGAGTAATCTGAAACCTCGTATGGGAAGTCTTTCGCCCACCGAATACAATGTACTTCAATTTTGTCGTTTAAAAGCTATGTAGCACCCAGTTTGAGATTCTAGAGATCTAGAACACTTGCTCATTATGACATACTTCTTCGTTATTCAACTTTCAGGTGCTGCGGCTGCCGGTGAGCCTCTCGACATGGGGGCTGTGAAGAAGGCACTGCCGCCCGAGACTGCTGTCGTTCGAAGGCGAACGCCATTCCCACAGCGGCCGGAACACGGAAACTTGGGCAAGCGGATCAATCTGTTTGCAAACCATTTCAAGATCGATCTGCCACACGGCGAGGTCTACCACTACGACGTCGCTATTATCTCTCCTTCCAAGAAGGAAGAAGCAAAGGCACCCGATCAAAAGAAGCTTCGGTGCCTTAGCACACGAATTAACCGGCTAGTCATACAGAACCTCGTCAATAGATATAGGGGAGAGCTGAACCGATGTCTTCCAGCCTTTGACGGGCGGAAAAACCTTTACACGCGCAGACGCCTGCCGTTCAATGAGCGAACGTTCATGGTTCCTTTCCAGGAAGATGATCGCGAGCAGCAGTTTGCAGTTACGATTCAGTATGCAGCCACGGTGAACCTGGATGCACTACATGCAGTCTACGAAGGGACTGTGCGCGTCGTGCCTCAAGAGGTGATACAAGCGCTTGACATAATCATGAGGCACGGACCTTGCGTGACTCTCACACCTGTGGGACGGTCCATGTTCATGCCGCCGAATCAGAATGACGACTGCTCGCTCGGCGGTGGCCACGAGGTGTGGTTTGGCTACTACACTAGTGTGCGACCCGCTCAGTGGAAGCCGATGCTGAATGTTGACCGTTCTGCCACAACGTTCTACGAGAACATCTCTGTGCTGGAGTTCGTGGGCAAGATGGTTAACGAAAGACCTGATGCCCTTAAGCAACTCTCCGCATCGCAGTGCCTAAAACTTTCTAAAGAATTGAAGGATCTGAAAGTGCGTGTTATGCACTTACCTTATCCTCGCAAGTACAAAGTCGCGAAAGTGACCCACCTCGCTGCAAATCAGCTGAAGTTTGAACTGGACGGCGGCGTGTTAACCACTGTGGCAGAGTACTTTCGCCAGAAATACCCGAACTTCATGCGCTACCCGCACCTGCCCTGCATCCAGGCCGGCACTGCGTCCCGCCCAGTCTACCTGCCACTTGAGGCCTGTCACATTGTGGAAGGCCAGCCGTACAAAAAGAAACTAAGTGAAACCATGACGGCAGAGATGATAAAGCGCACTGCACAGCCGCCGGTGCAGAGGTTCCGGGCTATCAAGAACTCCGTGAAGGACCTTGTCAACAGGAGCAAGCCATTTCTTGACGAATTTGGCATTGTGGTTAACACCGAGCCGACACAGCTCCAAGGGAGGGTGCTCAACCCACCGATGCTCGTGTTTGGAGGCCAGCAGACACAGCGTCCCAAGGACGGCGTGTGGGACCTGCGTAACAGTAGGCTTCTGTCTGCCATGCCCATTGACAAGTGGGCCCTGCTGGGAGTCAACTGCCGCCTAGATAGGCAGGCAGTCGGCAACATGGTACACATGTTCAAGGACGTCGGCGGGAGACTTGGCATGGCGGTGAAGGACCCCCTCGAAGTGAACAGCGTTTACGCGGACCGAACACCCATAGTGAAAGTTTTAGAAGACCTCAAAAAGAGGCTAAACGTGGACCTTGTTGTCGTCGTGCTCGGGCGCCAGGCGTCCTACGCGGACATTAAGGAGGCGGCCGAGGTGAAGTTGGGCATTCGCACGCAATGCATTAAGGAGCTGAATATGGTACGCAAGTGCAATGCTCCACTCATCACCAACCTCTGCTTGAAGATCAATGCCAAGCTCGGTGGCACCAACAATGGCCTTCTTGCTGCAGAAAAGCCAGACATTTTCAAGCAACCGGTCATTATCATAGGGGCTGATGTGACACACCCGGCACCAGGTGATAGGTAAATCACGTCTTTTTTTTTAATGGTGAGCTAGCAAAGGGTGCTTGAATCAAATTAAGTCCAACTTGATCAAGATGACCGTCCAGAACGGCAAGTAGTCATTGAATAATCACCCCACTATCATTGTTTATATAGATTCATAAATCAACAGCTGCAGGAGTTTTCAAAATTCACTGGAGGCTACACAGATCAGTGGGAATGTATGACAAGTAGAGCTGGTTGAGTAGCAAATTTTTCAGTGGAAGGAAACTTGTGCATTGAAGCTCGAGTACAAATCAGAAAAAAAGTTTGATTCCTTAGCATATTCTGAGTTCGCAAGATGAAGATGATTCTTCTCAATAGGTTGGAATGCTGGCAGGTTGGGCTTCATGTACAATGTGAAATTTATACAGACAATGCAATAGGCAAATACAAGAAACGATAGAAACTAGTATGACAATCATTTGATAAATCTGATTAAATTTATAGACGGTCATGAATTTTAGATGAAAATCTTCACCATCTGCTTTTAGAACTTCCTGCCCAAATTTCAGGTTCAAAACAGCATTGATTTGAGCCCCATCTCTGCAACATCTATCACCTCCATGTTGGAACCAGCATTTTCTTGGGCGTAAACATTTGGGTTCATAGCAGAGCCTGAAAGGCAGCTTTGCTGCAGTATGAATGCGATGAGGTAAAGCATATTTAAAATCTTGAAGGGCCACCTTCGGTTGGACACTGACTGTTTGTCTTTGAGAAGTTCGAATAATAAAATTCTAGTGTGAATTGAATACACACTATATGAAAAATGTTTTGAACATTCGCACACCTCTAATGACATGTGGACAGAGGCTACATCCATACTGCTGTGCTTTCAGCATGTTTTTTTTTTTTAATTATTGAATGCTCACTTTCGATGTGCTCATGCAACTTCTTGTGGTGGGATTTTGTCATGCGTAATTCTAGCACTACAGTCGAACCTGTTCATGACGAATTCCCAAATGCTGTGAAAAGTGGTCGTTATATACCAGTAGTCCGTTCTGTGTGGACAGCGGTCCTGGCGAATTCGCTTGACGAAAAGTGCAGCGCCAAGCAGCTAGAAGCTTTGTGGCTGCTGAAGGTGTGAAAAGGCTGAAGATAGCATGCAACAGCACACTTATCTACCGCAGAGCTGACAACACGTGGACGAACACAGTTATGGCTGGCAATAGATTGGCGTGCACTAGATTGCGTCAATTGCGCTTTCGAAGGTATGGCAGTTGCGACGCGTGCATGCGATGCAAGTAGGGTGGGTTCGAGGGTACGAAAACAACCAAAATCGCGGCATTGATAGTGACTTTGAGATTATGGACAGCAGTAAAATGTCCGGATAATTGCATAGCGAAGCCTATAAGCGTAGGAAATTTCGGACTTTTCAACATTGACTGTGGGGAACTTGACGGTGCCGGAGATAAGTCCGGAAAATCGGGCATGTTCAGAATTTGGCGTCTTTCTCGGATGCCAACTGTAATACAAGCAGTATACGCCTGCTGGCAGTGCATCGTTACTTCTCGGTCACCACGGTGCTTCAAACCAGCGAGCTACTTTCTCTTTTGTGCTATACAACATGCACTCTCGTGAGGTGGCGGTGGCGCACTTGCAAAGTGGCAGCATGGTGCACTGGTGCCTCTGTCAATCCACACAGCCTCATGTGTAGCTGAGATTGCTGCAGGTGCTGATAGCCAGTCCTCAATAGGTCATGATGAAATGTTCATCCCCCACCCTGCCTTGCCTTTGCTGTTTTTTAATTTTTCTAATCTGTGAAAGAATTGCCCCAGTTGCCCGGAAGTATTGAATCGGTTTAGCGGTGTCCTTCGTTACTGAAAAGACGGGCCTTTTTGCAGCACATTGTGGCATCGAGTTGAGGGACATAGTGAATTTTCATGCAACGAAAAATTGATGCGGCTATCGCTTCTTCATGGCTTCTTGTGTTCTAAGGCATTGTTTGGTTCATTGTAGGCAGTTGTAGCTGCAGAGAGCAGCCTACGTTATAAAAGGTTGCTGCCCGCTAGACTGTGCTGCCTCCTAATTTCATTTTCTTTGTCACTCACATTCTGCTGCTGAAGAAACTCTCAGAATATGAGCGACCTGGCTTGAAGCATTGGAAATATGCTGGTGGTCCTCGCCGATCTCCGATATTTTTGTTGCAAGCAAGCTGTAGCGACGCGGCATGTACGATCGCGTGCCTCTCTCACTCTTAGAAGGCCTGTTCTAACATTGTTTCACTTTGCATGTGCCATACATTTACCGCGACTGTCTGAAGCTTTCGTTGTTAAAGTAGGATGCTTTGAAATGCTATATGTATACATAACTTCAAAGGGTAGCAAAGGAAAATCGTAAGAGTGCCGTGGTCATGACAGATAGATCGTTATACCTGCATTCATTATAAGTGGGTTATACTGTATTGAGCGCAGCACAATGCGAGTGCAGTGCGACCGCAGCAGCTAAGCATCTTGTGGTGCTCAAGTCTGCAAATAGCTGTTGGCCAAATTGTGCTTGTGGCATCATTTCTTGAGCGAACAGGCAATTTCAAGCTGGTGTTGAGAATTGTAAGGACCGTGCCATATGCTGTGCTATGTTTGCGTGTCCACAAGAGGCTCAACTGTGAGTTGTCAGCATTTTCTGGCCATATTTAGAAAGTGTTGCAGGGTCCCTTGAAAGCGTTTTGTATTGTTTTATTTGTCGCACAAAAGAAGTAAAGTTGAATCGTTGCACACGTCCGTCATAACAGGGTGAAGCCATCCATCGCTGCCTGTGTCGGGAGCATGGACGCCATCCCGGCACGGTACAGGGCCTCCATTCGAGTGCAGATTCAAATGGAAGAGGCGGTTGCCCGTGTCGAAATTATTGAAGACCTGAAGGTAAGTTGAGTTAGCTAGACTGGCATGTGTAGGGAATATGGCATTGGAGTTTCACTGCAGATTATTTCCCCACTTTATTTGCTTCGAAAAAAAAAAAAAAACTGACAAGGCCTTTGCCCCACAAGTTCCTTTGGAATTTTCATTGTTGACTTCAAATGTTTGCATTTTTAGTTCCTGTGCAGTGGCGTTATGAGCATTGCCGAAACGCGCTGCACTCTCTTGACAGCGTGGCGCCAGTTTAGAAACGCGCTGCACTCTCTTGACAGTATGGCACCAGTTTAAACTGTAGATAAGAGACCGCCTGTCCTCATCTTGTCTCGCTGTGATGGGAAAAGTGCGCAAGTGTTGTGTATGGGGTTTTGACGAAGCTGACAAGGCATAGTCGGCAGGCAGAAATGCAGTGACAAAACGTGAAAAACCCTACCCTTGTGTGTTTGGCCACTTTAAGCCATTGAGACCGCAGCGCCGATGTTTGTGCTTGCGTTTGGGACCCCCCGCCCCTCCCCATTGTTTTTCGCGATGTTTTTTTCTTTTGGTGCCAAAAATGAGGGAAAATAATTCAGCGTGCTGATTGGACTTATGACGGCACGTGATGCTTGTCGCTAAAGGCAAATCCATCACAGCTACAAAAAGTCTTAACCCCCCCCCCCCCCTCCTTTTCGCTCGGCATTTTTTACGAATTGCTCTGTTGTCACAGGTTGGCAGGTATGCATTTGAGAGAGTAAACATTCCGCCCCAGCCTTTACTTTTCTTTTTTTCCTTCTTCGCGTGCAGCGTTGATGTGTTGGAGGTGCCGCCGTGGGATTGGGCATGGTGCTGAGAGCATTTTCGGAGCGCAGTCTGTTCAAATTAACCGTCGCAAGTGCTTGCGCGTTAGAATTAAAGGGCGTTTTTACCCATTTCAATACACATAGCTTTAACGTGACCACAGCATCAGTTTTAATTAACTTAAGGAAGTTCGAATTAAGTGCGTTCGAATTAATGAGATTTGAAATGGGTAAATTACGCTTTCATAATTCCAAAATCGCTGTGCTTGCCTCGAGAACTCTCTCGGTAAGCAAGAAAATGCGCAAAAAGAAAATTGGGCTTTCACATAGTTGCATTAATGCATCAATCGCCGTGAATTTATAAATTTGGACGTTTTTTACTAGGTCCTACATAGCTCTTAAGTACTAAAAACAAAGAAAACTGACTTTTGTGATGGCTCTAGACTTAACGTACTAAGTCTCAGCAAATTACTTTTAGCGAATATTGCTGAAGTAAAACAAAATACACATTAAAATTCGTGGTATCATGGGCAGATTTCAGTACGAAATTCAGAAGTACGTAATTTATATATGTATTACCGATATTTTCTCCCCAATTAATAAACCTGAGAATGTGAAAAGAACGACATGAAAGTTCTGGAAGCCTTTTTAATCTAAAAAGATCCTTTGTTCTAGGGCAGTGTTCATTTAATATTAAAGTGTTTGAGGTACTTTCCTCTTTGAAATGCACCATTATGAATATATACCTACGCCAAAGTGCTCCTTATAGTAAGATTATCTGCTCTAAAACTAAAAGTTTACTGCTGTAAAATGCTTCTAATAGCAAGATTATCTGTTACAAAATGCTCCAAAACTAAAATTTTAGTGCTCCAAGGTTCTCCTAATCGCAGGATTACTTTTTCCCAAATGCTCCAAAAATATTTTACTCCTCCAAAGTGCCCCGAAACTAAAATTTGACTGCTCCAAAAATTTCTCCAAATTAGCAGTCCCCAGTGGGATCACTGAGAATATCTACACGAAAAATTATGTAGATGTCTTCTCACAAGTTATCACCATTTTTTTAACCCCTGATGGATGCATCCGAAACAATGTTTCAGTTTACGCAACACCTACCATCTTGTCATAAATATTTTTCATATACATATCACGTAATGCTAAGTTATCTAAGTAAGTTTTAAAACTTGCAGAACATCATTTATTTATTATTTATTTAAGACATACTGCAGTCCGAAGACCAAGCAGGTGGGCAGGGATTAATTACATAGAAAGCGTCAATCCACATGGTAAATTGGTACACAATTCTGAAAACAAGTGTGAAGAAACAAAAAAAGAAAAGATAGCAGTACACAAAGAAACATAGCGGCACAGTGAATGTTTAAAATATTGCAGAAAGTACACGCTTTTCAAAATCCGACACATCACGCGCCGAAAACACATCAACAGGCAATCTATTCCACCGCTCGATTGTGCGGGGAAAGAAGGAGTGCTTAAAAAGATTAGTGCGTGCAAAAATTGGAGTTAGATTGTGCTCATGGGTGCTTCGAGTTGAACGAGATAAGCGGGGCTGAATATAAAGTCCTGGATTAATATTGAATTGTTGGGAATTAAGCAAAAACAGAAAACTTAGACGGGCAACCTGCCTCCTGTGTTCAAGGGTCATTATATTGTTGTTTTCCATGAGAAGCGATGGAGAAGCTCGGCTATGATAGCTGTTAAAGATGAACCGGACTGCCTTTCTTTGCACCATTTCTAATTTGTGAATGTCTTTTTTAAGGAATGGGTCCCATGCTGCGCTTGCGTACTCGAGTTGCGGCCTAACAACGGAATTATAAGCTAGCAATTTAACACGTGGAGGAGCGGCTTTTAGTTTGTGCCTGAGGAACCCGAGTTTTCTGGAGGCCGATGCGCAAATTTTGTTAATATGACTGGACCAAGTTAGTCGGCTTGTTATAGTAACTCCTAGATATTTATATTCGTCTACTTGTTTCAGCGTGTGGTTATTGAGCCTGTAGGAGGACGTGAATGCATTTTTTTTTGTTAGTTACCTGGAGCAATACAGATTTGTCGCAGTTCAGTTCCATGGACCATTTTTCACACCATTCAGAGACAGCATCAAGGTTACATTGCAGGTTACTGTGGTCACTTGAGGATGAAATTCGTTTAAAGAGTACACAGTCGTCCGCAAACAACTTTAAACCAATCGACGATGCGTCGATAACGTCAGAAATATCATTGATATAAATTAAAAAGAGTACGGGTCCCAGCACGCTGCCCTGAAGAACACCGGAAGTTACAGGGAGAGTATCGGAAAAACAGCTACTGATTTTTAACAAACTGCTTGCGGTTAGACAGATAGCACTGGATCCATTTTATGAGTGTTATTGGTAAGCCAATTTTTTGAAGCTTTAGGATTAGTTTACTGTGAGGAACGCGGTCGAATGCTTTGCTGAAATCTAAAAAAATGACGTCGATTTGTTCAGCCTTATCGAGTGAAGACGCAAGTTCATGAATAGTGGTTACTAACTGGGTAAGCGTAGATAAGCGTCTTCTGAACCCGTGCTGACAAGGCGTTAGAATATTGTTGGCTTCTAAAAACGAGACAATAAAATCTGATACTACATGTTCGAAGAGTTTACAGATGCTAGAAGTCAGGGAGATAGGGCGGTAATTGTTTGCAAAGAGGCGGTCCCCTTTTTTGAAGATTGGTACGACACAGGCCATGCGCCAGTCGTCAGGAATTTCGGTACAGTCAAATGATAACCTAAAAAGGTGAGTAAGAATATGCCCTAGCGGCTCAGCGTATCGGTGCAAGAAGGCATTGGGTATGTTGTCGGGGCCAACGGAAGATCTAATTTTTAGGTTGAGTAACATGTTAATAACACCCTCAACGATTATAAATTCTGAGGACAGATTTGGGAGAGGCATGTTGTACGGTGTACTATCTTGGATTGGAGAGAAAACGGAGTGAAAATATTGGTTAAAATGGTTAGCGATAGCGACCGAGTTCTCACTTCATTTTAAAATTTTCTCTGCTTGGTTGAAGCACTCCACTAGTCGAATTGCGTGCATTTTTGTTCAGCAGTCATTGTTGTTTTCTATGAGATTTCGAGTTCTTGAAATTGATTCTGGCTTTTAAGGAGAAAGTTCTACTTCCTGAAACATAGCGAAGAATAGGGCGAAAAAGGAGTGTGAACGCAAGTTAGAAATTCTGTGTGCCAAGCGTGGACCCACTGTGGAGCACAAGGATCAGTCACCTATATACGCAAAACAAGCTGGGAAAAACATCAGGCCTGCGCGGTAGGCGCAGCACAGTCGCAGCGAAAGCTAGAAAAGCGGCCTTTGAGAGCTTCTTCAAAACACTCATTGGGTGACTACTCCAAGCACACTTGCTTAGTGCCCACTAGGTAATAATAAACTAAAATAAAATAATAAATAAAGGCATTAATAATAAACTTTTGGGTAGTAGGCCACCGGCATTCGCTATGCTGTTTTTAGTCATTATTCTGAGAAGTGCGGTATTCGCTAAACACTTGCAAAGAATTTTGTGCCAATTGTCTATGCAGTGGCCGACGACGATGACGAATTATGGCTGAAGTGGCTGTGCCACAGTTAATAGGGAAACAAGAACAAGTTTTTGTAATGGGCTGGAGTATTGGACGGCCACTTGTTACGCTATTTTCATTGTCCGACGACTGGTTGATCTTTCGCTGTTGTAGAACTCTTTATAAGTTGTATTAACGCGATTGCCATCGCGACATCAAGCCTGCCTAAGGCAAGTTTTACAAGTTTCAAGCACCGGTGTAGCTCAGTAGAATACTCGGCTGGCATTCAGAGGATTCGGGTTTGAGCCACACTGTGCCATTGGTGCTAGGCCATGCCAGCCTAAGGCAAGTTCGACAAGCTACAAGCACCGGCGTAACTCAGTGGTAGAATATTGGGCTGGCACACAGCGGACCCGGGTTCAAGCCCCACTTTGTCATCGGTGCAACATTTTTTTTTTTTCGCACGATGTGGTTACCGGCGGCGCGGAGGACAACATGCAACTGCCCGTGACCCGAAAAGTGATCTCATAATAGCTTTCGCTGTAAAATACTTTGTTTTGCTCAAGAAAAGCTTGTACTACTTCGAAAGTCCAAGCTATAAGCCTGGTGACTTTCAGGTGTATTGAATGTTTCTTTGTTACATAGGCATTCTCAAGAAAAGCTTGTACTATTTCGAAAGTCCAAGCTATAAGCCTGGTGACTTTCAGGTGTATTGAATGTTTCTTTGTTACATAGGCATTCGGTTCAAATTTATTAAGCCAGTTTTCTCAAAACCTGATTTTTTGCTCCCTAGTGTTACATGAACGATAGCTTTGCTTCTGACCAATATTTTCACATAAAATTTCGCGTGCTGTTTCTTGCATAGCTGCCAACTTTTCACTTTCCTGTAACATGTACGAATTTTGACCGTGCTTAGGATTTTAGGAATCTTGCCTGAAATAATATGGAAAATATTTCATTTCTTGACAAAAGAATAGAATTAGTCAAGTAGTGTGGCCTCTGCGACAGACTTCGGCGTATTGCCGTAGGTAGTCGTAGAGGCTACAAAAACTGGTTTGTGCTATATTGAGCCACCAAAAGACATGTATTGGTGTTATCATCACATACCTGCCAAGTCTCCCACATTGTATGGGACACTCCCGGATTTTGTTTTCTTTTTCAATTCTGTACGGTGGCCATGAAAATATCCTGAAAATCGAAATTTGTGTAAGAGATCTGGCCACATTGACAAAATGCAGGTCAGTCCGTTCATGGCTTTTTGCAAGCCCACCGTATTTTATTATAAACGAATTTGAGAAGCATTCATCTAAGTGTACAATAGTCTCAGTGATGCGAAATCGCGGCAGATGCAAATCGTGATTGGGCCGAAATTCGAATGTACCGAACACTTTTCCTAATCGTGGGTGTGAACTTTAGTACCGAAACCGTGGAACGAAGGCTGATCGAGAGCAGCGTGCTTGAAGCTTCGAAAATGCACATGCGACCAGTGCACCCACTGTAAAAGACAGTGCATGTGGTTGTTATTGTCACAACCGCTGTAGACAAAACCACGGTCATTCGACACGATCATGCATAGAGACGACGTTACTGACTGAATTCTGAAAGTTTGTGCACGTCCGACGTTCGACCAGTTTTCTGCGAACTCTGTGGGCGGAACTGTGGCAAAAGACAGTGCATGTGGTTGTCATTGTCACAACCGCTGTAGACGAAACCACGGTCGTTTGACACGATCATGCATGGAGACGACGTTACTGACTGAATTCTGGAAGTTTGCGCACGTCCGACGTTCGACCAGTTTTCTGCGAACTCTGTGGGCGGAACTGCGGCAGTTGTGATCATAGATAGCATAAAACGAATTGGTTTTGAAGACATGGGGATCGAAAGAAAACTGTTTACCGTAACTGCTGCGCACAAAACCGCGATCCCGGGGATGTGATAGCAATCAATCTAGGAGATCTGACGGCATGTGGCTGATGCAGCGGTAGAATTAAAGCGGTGAAGACGTAAAAAAGGCTAGAAGCGTTTTGGTGTTCCTGTCCAAAGAATCGAGTAGCGAGCAAAATCAAAGCTTTGACTCGCGCTTTTGCGGCAGCCAGCTACGCCGTCTCGTCCATTCACGTGTGAAGACATATGCGAGTTGTTTTAACAGAAATAGATTTTTTTGATAGTTTTTAAAGACTATAGTCTTTCTTAACGACATTCAACACAAAAATTTTGGTCTGTCTCTCTGTACATTTGCTGTTTGTCCACCCTCAACGGTACTGGATACTCTGAATGGCACCAATCGATATGCCAAATGGCCGACCCCATCTGCAGCGCCCACCAATGTTGCTCAAGGCTCAGCGTTCATACTTGTGCGATTCTCAATTCAAAAGCAAGTATTACGCATATCTGCGGCACCATAACAATGTGTATATATTCTGTATGTGCGTCTTTTACTAGAAAAGGCATACATAAGTAATTCTAAGGACCGTAGCATTTATCATGCTGCGCTGACCATGCAACGCTTGCACGAAAAGGTGAGTGTTTCCAACGCTTCGCTAATACGACACGTTGGGGGCACCTACCCGTCACCTTGCGTTCTACGCCTTATCATCTGAGACGCCTGTTTCAAAAAGCCACACGCTCTGTTTTTCCAAGAAAACTGCCAGATAGTTGGCATCCAAGGGCGCAATGCCGATGTTTGTGCTTGCGCTTGGACCTCCCTCCCCCCCTCTTATTCACAATTTGTTTTCATTTTGTGCCAAAAATGGGGAAAATACACACACAATGCACAACTCAAACACAAATGCACAATGATTTGATTTACGGTGGCAAAACATAATTATGCTTATCGCTAAAAACAAATGATTTGATTTACGGTGGCAAAACATAATTATGCTTATCGCTAAAAACAAATCTGATTTATCACAGCCACAAATTAGTCTGAAACCCCACCCCTTCTCCGCTCCGGAGTTCTACGAATTTGTCTGTTGCCAGGTATCTCCTGGATAAGTGGAGCTGTGCATTCAAGCAGAATTATTAACAAGTGGTAACTTCTTGTAATATGGACAACTGCATTCTAAGCAAACTTGCAAACTTCTTTATGATAACATGCCTAGGCTTCAATTTATGATGGTTATGGAGCTGGCAAGTCATGCTAGTTTCACCAAAAGTTTTTAGTTGTCACTGTTGCCACAATATGCAAATCTTCGCACTTTTTGGTTTTTATAAATTTCAATTTTTATATTTTGAGCTATTTCATCATGTATATCTTTCAGATTTTCAGAGCCCTACAAGCTAAAAGTATAACTAACTTTTCGACTAAAACTAAGTTTTTCTCGAAGGTGTTCACGCATCTCAGATCTTGCACGCATTTCGCTCTGCGCAGCTTTCTAGAGCAGGTGGATCGTCTAAAAAATGTAGTCTTTCTTGTCTCGCTGATACGAACCTCCTGCCAGCGCCTTGTCACACTGATCAAAGGTATCGATGCAAACATTCGGAACATGGTTCATAATAATAAAATAATTGTTATGTCATACGTGTGCGTTCTCTATCGGATTCTTCGGGACCAAAAAGTGACAAAGAATTTTTTTTTTTTTTTTTAAATTGACATATTTGCTTTCCGCAAGTATTTTTCTATCAGCAAATTTTCGCACACCAAGATGTGTTAAGTTTTTTTGTAATGTCATTCTAACTGTCCAGATTCTTGGTGCTGTTAACATGCAGAACCTGCGACAAAATCCTTCCTTGCAGGGGAGACCCCAAACGCACCTGGCCATGCACTGCGCTTAGTGCGACACAGAGATCTTGTTCAGACACAACAATCGCACGACACGGGAACTTGTCGAGGCTTACCACATAAACGCGAGGGCTCCCATGTGCGTTAGTAATCCTTTTTCTTTTTTTGCCTTATCGGACAATCAGGTAGCACTGCTCATTGAAAGGGGGTAGACTGGTGGGGAGGGGGTGCAGGAGATGTGTTCTTAGTTTGATTTATTGCCTTTTGTTTTGCCCACGATGTGCATGTGCGGGATTTCGTTAAGCACCAAGTGTTATATATTTTTGGTTCAAGCACTAAAGCTTTCAGTTGTGGGAAAGCACTTGTGGTGTATACTTTCTTGTCAGCGTCTTTTTCGCGCCTACGTTTATGCTGTAATGGATCAGTACCAACTCGCTCGCCTCTGTTTTTCTTTACCTTAAGGAATCCCAGATCATCAAAATTTTCTGAGCCCTCTGCTATGGCGTCCCTCACCATTTTTGTCATGGTCACAACATCGGCAAGCGTGCTGCAATGAGTGATCACTGCCGGACGCACATGCCGATACGCACTGGTCATGTGCCATTAGTCTTCTTGTCTTCTTGGTTATATTAGAGCTGCACATCGTGGTCGCTCAATAAAAAGAATGTCCACTAAAATGTTAAGACTTGATGCTGTACTACAGTTATGGTACCTGAAGGGACCAGGAAAATGTGTTCTGTATAACGAGAGGTACTAGTAGAGAGATAAACAAAGGTAGATTATCCAAGTATGAAATTAATCGTGCTGGAAGCAGTTTTTTCATTTAAGTAGAAGTTTCGTTACCAGATTTCAGTTTAACAGTCTATTGTAGTCAGTCATCTCGCTTTTTTTGTGCCCCGAACCTGCTCCTAGGCGCATTTCCTGCTGCTATAAGTCTGCTCCAAATAAGCTTTTTTATTCTTGTGCCAAAACATGTGCGAAGTCAGAAACTGAGTGGTCCACAACTGCACTTATGAAAAATGACTTATTGGACTTGTACACGTCACTCACTGCACATATTGAATGAAACTAATTGCTCGGCCTCTTGTGGAAACCTTGCCTGTCGCCCCAACGTAGTGGTCTACTGGCTAAGGTACTCGGCTGTAGGGGGATCGAATCTTGGCTGCCGCGGCTGTGTTTTCAATGGAGGCGAAAATGCTGTAGGCTTGTGTGCGAGATGTGGGTGTACATAGAACCCCAGGTAGTCAAAATTTCTGGAGTCCTCTACTAAGATCTCTCATAATTATGTGGTGGGTTTGGGACGTGAGACCTCACACGTCAATCAATACCTTGCCTGTTGGGCTGTATTGCCTTGCATTACAACTTCATTCTTGTGAATAATTTAAGAACTGTGTGCCAGTTGTATTTGGTTGATGATACGTAATTTGTGCCACCCATGTGCATTCAGGAAATGGTCAAGGACCTGCTCAAGGCCTTCTACCACGAGTTGCGGCAAAAGCCCATGCGCATCATCTTCTACCGGGACGGGGTCAGTGAAGGCCAGTTCGCCGCCGTGCGCGACGAGGAACTGTCCGCCATTCGGAAAGCCTGTCTGGAGCTCAGCCCCGACGGCTCATACAAGCCCCCGGTCACTTTCATTGTGGTGCAAAAGCGCCACCACACCCGTTTCCAGCCAGTCAACTCTGAGGAGGGCGTGGGCCGTGCCAAGAACATCCCTCCGGGCACTACTGTTGACACCGTAGTCACTCATCCCGTCGATTTCGATTTCTTTCTCTGCAGCCACGCTGGTATACAGGGCACAAGCAAGCCCGCTCATTACTACGTCGTCCACGACGACTCGAATTTTACTTCGAACGACCTCCAAAAATTGAGTTACTACTTGTGCCACACGTACGCTCGTTGCGCTCGCAGCGTGAGCATTCCCGCACCTGTCTACTATGCTCACCTGGCCGCATTCCGTGCTAAAGAGCACATTGCTAGCGCCTGCAACATCTCCAGTGGGAGCAGCGTTAGCTCCAGTGGATCAGATTCGGTTACCACTGATCAGTACGTCAACGCAGTCAGAGTGACAGAAGCAATGCAGAAGAACATGTACTTCGTGTAAGTTCTTTGTAAACTGCGAGCTGCTTTTATGTGACATTTTAATGCTCAATAAATAATCTTACACATACTTTCATTGTTCAGTGTGATGCACAACGAAAACCAACAGATGATGAATACGGCAAAGGTATAGGGGATGTTATGTGCACTGTATGTAGTATATTATAGCAATTTTTATACATAAGAAAATGAACATGGTATCTTGCTTATAAAAAATGCCCAATATGAAAAAAACAAATGGCTTCCCCTGTGCGTGTATCTTATGAAAGGGTTCAACCGTACTGCAATACTCAACTGTACTGCAATACTTAGTGTCCCCTATACCTTGGCTTCATGGGTTGGATTTCGTTGACTAGCCCTCAAATTTCCTTCATTCTAGGGATTCACAAGCGACATCGGGATGGTCTTCTCCAGACTACACGAAAAATCAGTCATTGCATAGGCCAGATTTATGGCATTTGTCAGATGTCATTTGTATCATTCTTATTCTAGTTTTAGTGGCAGGATGTGGGCGGAGGAACAATTGCTTAATGCCGTTGGCTACTTCATATTTAATGCTCGGACTTTGCGTTCTTTGGCTTACTGAATATTCATTAAGAGGTTCAAAGAATTTGGGTGCGCTCCAGTACTCTTCTCAGTAGTAGATGGTTAAAGAGGCATAAGCAGACATGGGCCATTTGAAGTTTCATTCTAGTTCTTGTGCAGCAGGCATAATAGCTTTGTGAGGATTGCATTGGAGACAATAGTGATGCAGGTAGCTGTACTGTCTAAACAAGATGGCAGCACGGAATGCTTGAATTTTGCCTGCGTGGCAGTCTGCCCAGACACTTAAGTGCTTCATGTAAACCATGCTCAGTTTTTCATATTCCAAATGAAAAGATTCTGGTCGTTTTCCATGCCTGTAACTCGCGAGTTTAAGGTAACATTGTGCTGCACAGAAGACTTGCAGACCCTTTCCACTACTTGGCTGTGGGACTTGGCATAATATACAGCATAAGAAAGAGCAATTTCTGATTGGAACATGGCATTTAAAGTGCCCCTGGATGGTTTAAGGGTTTGTGGAATCGCCCCTTAAGTACATCTTATACAAATTTCTGCATATTGGTGTAGCGGTTATGGTGCCAAACTGCTGACCCTAAAGGCGTCCGGATTGAATCCCAGCCGTGGTGGCCGCATTTCAATGGTAGCTGAATTCTCGAGGCCCATGTACATTGATCTATTTGCACATCACAGAACACCAGAGGGTAAAGACTTCCTCAGCTCTACACTATGGTGTTAGTAATAATGTGGTTTTGAGACTTGTATAAATGCCACTTCTTGTGCAGACCCCTTCTTTACAGGAATTTCAGAGGTGGGCAAATGTGGACTTCTGGTGTTGTGCGGAGAAGCTGCTAAAGGTTGCAAGCTGTAATCCTGCCGTAGTAGCTTAGGGGGGGGGGGGGGGATGTGATAGCTCTGGCATACCATTAATTGGTGGAATCATTCAGTTGGTCAAAACTGGGACCTTAGTATGATGTGCCTTAGGCCTGATGTCAAGATCGTTTCTAGTGGTGCTGTGCGTTTGTATACCTGCCAACTCTCCCAAATTGCCAGGGAGACTTCCGAATTTTTTCAGGTGCTCCGTGGCTAACGCTTCGCACTCACAAGCAAGACTTCCGAATTTATACCTAATCTCCCGATGGTGCGAATGCTATCGGAAATCTCCCAGAAAGTGGCTGCCACAGCTTGGACTTTTTTAATGCACGTGTGTACGTCAGCCTTTCCTGCTGCAACAGTTGCGGTGCTGCGGAAGAGCACTCGCCACTACACTTCTAGTTCACTGTAGCCACGTTGTAGAGTACCGCTAAGTATATACTGCACATTAGGGTGAAAGCCGGGGGCAGAGTGACGCGCTCGCCACCGTACCAAAGGAAGGCAAGGGAAAAGGTACCACAACTTTTGCGTCTGTCTTGACCCCTGCCTTTCGCACGCTAGCCATACATCGCTTGCCTAGGCGCCAATTGTTTGTTATGTGGATTTGGAGGTTGCGTGTTTCCCAGAGTTCACTTGGAAGGTAAATGGTGGTATCAAAAGCAAAAAGGCACTTGCAAGTGTCCCTGGACTCGTACACAACGGTGTTTTTATGCTTTGTGACTTTGTGAAGTGTGTGTAAAAGTGCACATGGTGTACCATGTGCGCTTGTAATGTGGTTTCAAACGGCGGCAAGTCTGAAATAAAGGTGCACATTGCTTCACAGAACTTAAACATTGGAATTGCATTCGTGCTGCGGAAGAGTACGGCAGCATCTGGACTTTTTTTCCAAAAGGGCTCCAAAAGCAGAGCGATCTGCGCAGAATGCCTATGTATTCATGAGATTTCCGGGAGAACACAACTTAGCGTACGATCACGCCAGACTTGTTTCTAAAAAAATCTCGTAAGTGCGAGGACGTGAAGCGGTACAAGTGCCGATGCACTAACAGAACCGCCATTGTCGGGGAAATGTCTGCAGATGCCAAAAACACAATGGTGGAGGTTCTGAACCTTCATGCATTTGCAATCGCAGTGAATGGAAGCAACGGCAGTGGGTCGCAAATGTATGTCTCAGCAATTTTCGATATAACACACACCCTGCTGTGGTATAGGTTGGCAGGTACGAGTTTGTCTTACTTGTGTGTCTTACCTGTGTGTTAAGTGCTATAAACTTGTTTCTAAAGGTCAGCCGACAGGCTTGCATGGCGACTGCAGAATATTTTATGGACAGGTTTGCGAAGCTTTTTGCTGCGATAGGAGTGAAAGGCTAGGCTAATAATTGAAGCATCGCATATCTATTATGGTGATGGCACATGCATCAGCCAACCTTTAACTTGTACAGTTGAACCCCTTTATAAGAGACATTATCATGCCTATAGTCAAATATGGGTTAATAAGCAAATGCATTTAAGGTACCCAGCTTATAAGAGACATATGGAGGACAAGAATTGCTGCCCAGAGCATGCCTCTGTGTTTGTGGTGTCTTCGTTTTCATGCCCGGTTTTTAGAATGAGGTTCTTACGGTACTTTTGGCTGAGCATTTACAATTCGCTCGATTACGCGAGACCTACTAGCAACTTGCTCCGAAATGCGTGCACCAGAGCTCTTAAATCGTACCACTTCCAAAGGTCTGTTTTTGAACGAAGACTTCCTCAAGAACTAATTTGTGGATAGTCAACGCTCCACGTAAAAGTTGTGCAGAATGCATTGCTTTGTAGCAGTCTTCATTATCTTTCTGAAAATTGCCATGGGTAGTATTCATTTAAGTACAATTATAAAAGCACAATAGGCTCATTGGTCATATCATTTATGAAATGTAAAGTATGAAGACCCTCTGTTCACATTGTCAAGTGTGTGGTTTCCTACAACTCGAAAGTACCATAGAAGATGCTTTTTTTTTTGCCTGCTGGTGGCATGACAATCTGCACTCCACACACACTAAAGTTTTTAAAAAATATAAAGCAGCACCAACTTCGTCTCTGCCTTCTCCTTTACTAGCAACTGTAGCAGTGGCTATAGCCTGTCCTGCTGGAAATTACGGATTTTATCTGTTGTAAAAATGGCTTTCTGTTGTACCTGTGTTGTGTACCCGTACTGGCGCAGCAGGTCGCCGTACTGAAGCATATAAAACGACTGTATGAACATACTCGAGCGCAGTCAACCTTGCACCATGCACCGATCAAGTAAAAACCCAGATGCAGATGACGGAAATGGCGCTCGCACAATCTTATAAAAAGTTGTGGGTCGCTCTTAAAAAAATATATAGAAATTTATCAGTGCTGCCGAGTTTTAGTGGCACTGCCATCAGTAGTGAGCGCGCATGAACGGTGTATGCATGGTACATTTTCATTCTGTTGGACACCATTAAAATAATTTAATCAGTTTTATTGTAAGTTGCCAAGTTTACATTTGCGCTGTAACAATGTGTAGAATTAGCTCTCTTCAGAACTTTTTCTGCCACTAAACTCGTACGGTTATGAACCATTAATGTCTTGTATTGCTTCGCATTATCTATAGAATGCAAATAAGTAACAAGATCATGTGTATAAGTAATGAAAACAAAAATTTTAATGTGAGAGGTCTTAAAATCTTCAGCCCATATTAGTTGCTTACTTTAGGTTCATAATCGAATTGTGGCGGTAGAGAACACCATTCCCGAGCTTGAATCATAAGAGTTGATGACGAAGCCGCAAGTTAGGCGGATGGGAAGCTCCAGAGAGGTGGTCCATGATACGCCTATAGTACGGATAAGATCACTGGTGGGAGCGAATTGTGGGCTTGTCGTTTGAGGAAAGCTAAGTGATATCAGGTTTTGAAGGAAACAATTGCATTCTTCACGGGCATCAAAACTTTAAGAACATGTCCAATTTCAAGAAGTTGCCCACAAGTGAATCTTGAGAAAAACAATATTTAAGCATAGAAATTAAAGCTAATCTATATGGCAAAGATATGCATTTTAGAATGATTTCTTTCATCATGAGAGCTTGGGAAGCATGGTTATATTGAGCACGTGGCAAGCAGTGAGGTGACAATTTCCGTGGGACTCAAGACAATGAGCTCTTTAGAGTTGTTAACAGTCACCGTGTGCTCTTTAAAAGTGATCATAGCTTACTTCTAGTTTAATTAAAACCCAGATTTTTTCGTCATGAAAGTATAGCAGCTAAACTTTTGAAAGCAAATAAAAACAACAAATGTGTAATTTTGGATTTCGTCTTTCGAGTAGTATCATAAATCTACAAATGACTATCATTATATTTCATGTATTTCTGCAGCCAAGGATTCTCAAAAAGCACTTGTAGCAGCTTTCTTGTCCTAGCATTGTCAATAACTTTCAGTTACAATCGCTATGCATGAGGATAATTCTTTCATTTCGGTGAATAATTGCAGGTGTAGTAATGAAAGGCTCATAAATAACGCAGCACCTCTTCGAGGAAAAGGTGACTTGAAGGAACGTTTCGCTGCGTTTGTGCTGCTTACCAAATTATCTTTTAGCATTGAGTTGATGTAACCTATTTAGTCAATATCATGTTATATGTGAACAATACTGTTTCTTTAAAGGGCCACTCACCAGGCCCCATACCAAATTTTTGTTAGACTGTGGAAGTTGTTGGGTGTCTGATGATGAGCATTTTGCAACAGAGACTTTTTGAATCGGTTCATTACGAGCTGAGAAAACTTTTTTTTTTTTTAAGCGGAGCGAAACGAGGGTGAGAGAAGGCGAGCTCGGTACCCTTGCCGCTCCTCCGCGTAGCCTTCGCAAGCCAAATCTCTTCCCTACCCTTTCCGGCATTATATCAAAAGGTCAGGTGCGCATGACAAGCCCGAACAAGTCCAACCCCCGTGCACGCGAGTGGCATTTTTTGTTGTTGTCGTTCACCAGCGTTCTTTTGAGGTCTACTGCCTGTTTCTGCAGGATAATTTGGAAACGCTGCCTTAGACGCGGTAGAATAGAGGAGCACAACGAGTGTACGAACGCGTAGGAGCGTTCCACGGTTGTCGTGTGCTCGATGCGCTGAACGCGAGGACACAAATGCATGTGAAGCCCTGGCACATTAGCCCCGCATCTCGTTCAATTCACGGCGAAAAAAAAGAGAGAACGCTCACATTGCCTTATTGCATCTCATTATTTATATAGAGATTTATTAATCTCTTCAAGCAACAAATACATAAACTACGCATGTTGTGTTAAATAATTTTGGCCATGTCACGTGCCACTGTTGGCAACGTCAGAGCATAGTCGTCTACGTAGAGGACCAACGTCACTGCATCGCTGTGTACGTAGGGCTATTCATATGCGCACGTCGTGCCCTCATTCTCTGGACGCGTGCCCGCAGGAGGAAGGGGGAGCAGCGTTCATCTTGAAATTTGATCTATTGCTGCGGCGCGTAGCGTTGCAAATTTCGGCAGACGTGATCATGAATGCCTCATCTACGCATTGCGCTTGCCAGCTCGAAATTGTCAAACCTGGTGAGTGGCCCTTTAAGATATTCTTTGGAGGACAACGGAACATGCAAATAGATTAAGCTATGTGAGGATGACCAAGTTCATTTGCATGCTTTATCTTGAAAAGTCTGTCAAGACACTCTGCCCTGCAAATTCACTGGTACGTAAATGCATTTCAGAAATTTGGCTGTTTTCCTCGAAAAGCGACGCGTTGGTTTGATGCTTTCGCAGAGTGCACAGTCCTGGTGCCTTTATTTTACATGACCATTTGTACCATTTGCTTTGATGCTAACAGAGTTTTTCTTTTATTGTTTCAAGTTCGACCAAACAATGGAATTGTACTGGTGGCATGTCAGAATGTGAGAATGAAAGGGAGTGAGCCATGCAAGTAGCATAATTGGAATGGGTGAGAGCTGTGTCCCCTTATTGCACACTTTGCAAAGACCATAAAAACGCTAAGTTATGGTGTTCTGCTCCAGGCAATCCACAGTAACACAGAGCCAATAAATTGCTCTACTACATTGAAAAGTTATAGGCTCTTGGAAACAGTTTGGTGGTGTTGTGCTCAAGTGTGTTGACGGTGCTAAAAGTGACATGCTTAATCTTGCATCCGATTACAAAATCTGGTCGCACATATGCAATACTTCCAAAATGGTGCTGAAATGATTCTTAGGTTGTGACTACGCTGCGGCCTTTTCCAAAATATAAGGTCGAAATTCATTTAGGCCACGAAATGTAGCCTTGCATCACTTGTAAAGTGCTTCATTGGTGATTAAATCAATTGTGCAAATTACAAGCTCTCTTCCACATCACAGCGAAACATTGTAAGATGCTTATGACTTTTTTCAAGTTCTGGACAGCGTAGTCTTAAAGCTTACAAGGCAGCATAGAATCCCAGTCATCCTAGTAATGGAAAGTGTTTGCACAATGTAACGCCGCCTTGTATTGATGCGAGAAAGCCGATCAAAGCCAATAAGACAGCTTCATTTTTAACTTTTCATGTCCAAATATGCAAACACATCGAGCTTACATTAGGCACCTTGGCTACGTCTTCCCATGAGCAGGTGATTTTTTAGCAAGTCTTTAAACTTTTCGCTCAGCCACACTCTTGTTCGAATAGCGAAGTGGCCTGCATCATTTCGGATTTTCACTCCAGCTTTGTCAAAATTGAAGGCTTAAGATTGCCACTGTCTATTTTGCTGTCTACAATAAGTATGCTGACGACTGTGCCAGCAGCTGCACTGAGACTTTGAAAAAAAAAAAAAAGCATATCTAATGCTGATAGGAAAAACAAAGTTTTGAAACCTATGCCAAGTAGTTAAACCATCAAATATAGCCCATGTTTTACGGGAGTAATAATGTGAATGTTTTGGAAGCTTGAATGGCATGCCCTGTTCAACGATTCCTCGTCATCACAACCGTAAAATCATTTCAATTTGATTCTGGTATGATATTTTAACCACGTCTGCACAGTGCAATGGCATGCTTGCTTGAGGTAGATAGGAAGGCTTCCTGTGCTTATGAGGAACAAAGTTTGTTAAGGAGTGCAATTTCAACACCATAGTCAGTCTCTGGAGTTTCCAGGATCATGGGGAGGTGATCCAGTCGAGGGTCATTCATGATTCGTCGGAATCCATCCAAGCCAATCTTGCCACGGCCTATGTTTTCATGACGGTCCAAGTGGCTGCCCACTATTCCTGAAACCAACAAAGCAATATACATTCAGGGAATGCATTGCATTTGTATTTCTTAGGAACAGCTCATCGAAATTGATGTTCAGCTAGCTTTGCATGCATTAATCACAACGAAATATTGAAGAGATATTTATTCATTTATTTATTTATTTATTTATATGCATGGTACTAGTTTGCTACAACAAGAAGTGTGGTATGGAAAAGTGAACTTGAGAATTAAATATTGTTTTGAGTAACTTTTAAATACTAGTAAGGCAACCATTTTTAAAACAAGTCTAGGATTCCATAAGATTTTATCTGCAACAAATGTTCGCACTTTAACAATGGAACCTTTTGATTACCTTTAGTTGACAAAAATTAATGAAATTACAAAAACTGGTGTAGGCTGGTATGCAACAGTGACTAAAGCATTCACAATATTTTGTAGCCATACATTGAAACACAGCAGTGACTACAGTATTCACGGTGGCATTTTGGCACCAAACACTCGTGCAATTTTCTTGCGTGCTCAATTCTATTTCCCTATCTTTTCATCCTTGAATCCTCTTCCCCCCAGCGAAGGATAGCAAACGGGAAGGTGTTTTCCTGATATGTGCTCTTTATTTGAAAAATATTCGGTGTTTCAAATAAACATTATTTCATTTGAATATCAAGTCAATAGAACACTATATGATTTCTTGACCAAATTTTCGAATATTTGCACAGCCCTAGTTACAGCCTAAGAATCCAAATACAACCCAAGTACAAGCTCTGCCCCCAGAGGTGTGGCATGCCCGCCATTCATTCGTAGGAGCTTTGTTTAGGTGACACTAGGAAAAAAACAATAAAACATCAAAATAGGAAAAAGTGACTGGTAGAAGCAGAGACAGTGACATAGAGGTGGCTGCCTCTGCTTCTGCCTTTTCGTTTTTCCTATTTCAATGTTTCTTAGTGGCTGTTAGACCGCAGACATGGGGAAAGCTTTGTGCCTCCCCGCCCCCCATCGTGTGTACACACCTAGGCTGAACGTGTAGTGTACTGTACAAGCATGAAAGTAGAAAAAAAGAGAATTGTTCTGATTCTTTTTTCCGACTTGTTATTTTTTGATGCTCTTTTCCACCTTGAAACTATGCTGCAATCACAGTAGCCTCAAGCTGTACATGCGCGAAGCAGGTTTAGATGTCTTTTTTGTTGCTGTTGGATAGGTGTTGCGCAAGCACTTCTGATCGCGATAACGGCTTATTCGGACGAGATATCTGGACTGCGCTTGACAGTGGGCCCTTCTACACAGTCTAAACTAATTCGAATAGAGTTTGGCAAATACATTAGTGAAACTGCAATCTATGAGCATTGTGCCCTATTGGTGCTGATTGCGATTACAAGTGAAAATGTAGCAGCATGTGATCTAGATCCAGCATAATCCCCATTGGCCTTGATCGTGCTCAAAAGTGCCCATCTGACACCAGTAAAAGGAAATGCAGGTAACATGTAATCTCAGATATTATATCAGCATGAAAATCTTTCGCAAGAGACATGTAGTGAAGGACAACTGTGCGTGTTGCCCGATTGATATGTGGGGTAACAACTCAAAACCACCATATGATTATGAGATACGCCGTAGTGCAGGGCTCCGGAAATTTCGACCAGCTGGGGTTCTTTAACGTGCACTCAAATCTGAGCACACGGGGCTACAGCATTTTCTCCTCCATCAAAAATGCAGCCACCACAGCATGCGTGTTGCCTTTGTCATCTCTTGTCTAAAAGTTTTTCGCACCTAGGATCAATACCTTTTTATCTAGCCCTTCAAGATTATTTCGCTTGAGTAAACTTCCGTCCTGGCGCCGTTGACTTTGCTAACTCCTGCAAGGCAGAGTAGCCTACAGACTACTCCATGTTGTGATAGCGTCACTATTACACAAAGGTTATACTATAATCACAAACATGGACTCGTGGCATAGCAGGCACATAAAAACAGAACTCGCCTTTTGAGTCGTTCAAGTGAAGTGCTTTCAGGTATGACAATCCAATGATGGATTCAAAGTCATTCATCATCTTCTCAAAGCCTTCTTGTGTTGCCAAGTCATAGCCTAGAATTTCAGATCAAGATAATCAGACCGTTTCGAAATGCAATGTAGCTCCACAGTCACACTAACCTGCTGCAAAGGCATGGCATGTGTCCAGACAGACGCCGATCCTCGATTTGTCTTTCACTCTGTCTATGATCCCACGCAGCTCCTGGAAGTCGCCGCCGATTGTGTTGCCCTGTTTGCACATGTTTTCAATGACTGAAACAAAGATTGCACACCGCATATCATAAGTACATGGAGAATGTTCAGTATGAAGCGAGCCTTGCTAAAACAAAAACAAGCAATGTCAAATCGGATTCATAATTGTTAATGACGTCATGACACAGTTGCCCAGCAATTAGTGGTGGTTTTCAGTAAAACATAGAGATAGGGAGTTTATATAGGCTATATACGAAAAACAGACAGTAGAAAAATACGATTTGAGCGTGAAAGAAGCCCTAGGATGTGCTGGCTATAAACCCTGCCCACCGCCGTTGACTGTAATATTGCCATCGTGTATGAGACATCATGTCTTGTATGGAGCCAGACATTTTCTTCACTCAAAAGTTTCAGCCACTTCAAAAAGTTCCATTTCAATACCAAGCTGAACAAGGCTGCAATAGCTCGAATGCACGCGTGCCTGACCACAGAACAACATCGTTCGCCACGCAGACGCTTACAGAGCAGGCAACCTGGCACGTCCCGGCTCGTGAGTGTGCCAGCGGTGCGAAACTATTAAGCTGCGCACATGTTCATGAAAATACTGAGTTTTAAATTAAGTGCTCGTTTAAATTGGCTAAAATTTAAACACTTTGTTGGTGAATGCACAAAGATTAACCTCGCATAACACAAGCTATGATAAAATGTTTGGCCCCTAAACCACCCCGAGTTGAAAGGTGAGGCAGTAGTTTCTGTGTTGCCTCCACTACCATCATTACAAGCGCTATTTCCTCCTAGCCACTTACTCTTCATAAAACACTTAGAATGCCAGACCTAAGTGTCAAGCCAGTTAAGATTTTGTGCGTTTTAACTACTCAATAGTTGCTTACATCATTTTGCATAACTACACACTGCTATCTCTGCTTGTGCAGCAGAGAAATGCAAGAAATGAAGGGAAATCAGTTTATCGCGCATGATAATCATGCAATAAAAAGCAGAATGTGCATGCGACTGCATGGTAAAGCATGGTTTTGGGACGTTCAACCCCACAAATCAATCAATCAATGCACGGTAAAGCAGAGTACGAAACAATTCACAACTGGTATCTTTCATATATTGACAAATTGAGAGCCGATTTCATCCTGATGTCATGTGAACAAACTGCTGATGTCACAAGAAAAACGCCAGCAGAGAATAAAGCACTTTTTTTTTTTCAGAGGCTGTTTAGGGGCCCTTTAAGAGTTTAACAGAGAGAGAGATGAAGAAGAGCCAACCAGAACAAATATACGTTTATTACTCCACAATGGCGGGTAGGGGGCAGACAAGAAAGATAAGAAGAAAAAAGAGACAGACTAATAGAGAGAATACATATGGCACCAGCATGCTAGATTACTTGATGCGATGGCTGATGCAGGCTCACAACTTGCTAAGACCGAACCGTGGTGAACTATACTCGAGTAAGGTAATTTGTGTGAGTGAGCATGCTCCTAATGAGCCATATCCAAGGTAGCAGAATACAATCGAAAGAATGAAGCATTCATTAAGATTAAGATGCACCTGAATAAAACTGAAAAGATAATCTTTCTCTTCCTGTATAGAGAAGAAGCGATAGAATGATTGAACTGACTCACCCAGATCAAATGGCACAGTTGAGGCATACTCAAAAATCACAAGACTGGACGAAGCACTGTTATCCTACCTTCGGCACAACACAATTTCAAGTTCCACGGATGTATGTTGGCAAATGTGCATGCACTGTATTAGCCATAACTACAGTAATGTGCAGGAGGAGGGTGGACATTTTGCCCCTATATACATCTTAATTAGGTAGGCAGATGAGATAAGTAAGCTTGCGGTTATAAAGTGGCAGCAGCAAGTACAGGACCGAGTTGATTGGTGGAACACTGAAGAGGCCTTGTTCTGCAGTGGGCGTAGTCAGGCTGATGATGATGACGACACTTGAATTATTGTTTGCCTTGTCCTCGGTATGTGAGGACAGCTCTGGAAGAGCGGTTGGTATGAACCCAATCCAACATTTGCACTTTTAAGGGGCAGACATTGTATAACTACTTGATAATCTTAATTTTTCCCCAAGTGTGGAAGGCTTTGTGGCAGCTTCCTGCTTCGACCCAAAAACTGCCATAGCTGTGTGCAGGAACTAAGATTATCTACAGAGCTGTGCGAGCTTCTGTCAATTTAACTACTGTCTTCCAGTTTTAATCAAAGCAGTGGAGTAATAATGTGCTACTTGCACTCAGCAACCACGAGAATGTTTCATGAATGTTTCACATATGAAATTTCCACTGTAAAAGTTTTTCGGAGCACCAAGTCCACAGAAGCAAGAAAGCTTTGTCGCAGACTACTCACAACCATGGGCCGAACACTTCTTATTTTTTCCAATGAATGCAAACAGTTTTAACCTGCCGTCTGGGCTGTGTGGTAAATCTACAAGATTTAGTGGCATCTGGTGACTTGCATACCCTGAAAACTTTTGCACTTGGCTGCATGTACATTACGAAATGCTGTGTCATTGAGCCTCTAACGTTTAAACAGCTTTTAATAATACTTGATTCAAAGGTAGCTTCTGGAAAAGGCTGCTATTGTGAAACGAAGCAATATTTTTTTTTTCTCCAATAGGCCGGAAAATACGGTTGAATTTCTAAGAATCTAATCTAACATCAATATGGAAATCTGTTTGTCATGGAAACCACAACAGAAGCACTTGCTTCTGTTATGGCGCTGACAAATGTCAATGTAACGGAAAACTCGTAGAACAAATGTGTAACAAAATCATATTCTTGTCTGATTGAACTGCTGTACTGAGTTTGTACTGGAGTAAGCTAGAAATAAATCGTTGGTACATAACTAGTGGCGAGCTCTGATTGAGGCATTGATGTAAGCACTACTGGACAGCATAGTTTGGGCATCGAATCCTCAAAATCAATAGTAGGAAAATCAAAACGACATTTCTCCTTCTGCGCAACATTTGTGATGCCTCACCTGATATGACATATGTGGTCTCCTTATGTGCTTGGTTGATGCTCTCCGCAATTAGATCCATGCATGCGTCGCGGCTTATCACACCGCACGTCGAACCTGCAGAAACGAATCATTCTTTTTCGATCAAAGTGGCTAACGTAACATCACCATTTTTACTATCAGAACTATATAACAGTTCCTGGTTAGCACCGTGCCCAGATCCAAGAGGTGGCACGCAAAATACTCTGACCCCCTCCAGAAAATACATGTTCAGTGCCATGCAGTACACATCATGTGACAGCCTGTGCAGAATATTAACTTGAATGTGAGTACCTATATATTTATTTATACTTCAGATTAATTTAGACCTCAGCGAATGGTACATTTGGGCAAAGCAAGCAATATACAATAAAAAGGCACTCAGAACTGATTACAGAATACATCAAATCAAATGCTCCTTCAAGTGATACCAAACACTTTTGAGCAATAGCTTCGTTAGACAGGTTATTTAAAATCTTGTAATAAACAAAGAAATAAAAAAATATATAAATCAATTGAATTTTTGCATCTAAGGAAAATTTTTATAAATGTTCTATAAATGTCTCACATATATAATTTTCATTATAGATGGAATTAAGATATGCCATGTGTTAGTTTTGTCATGATCATTTGCCATATAAAAGATCCTCAGTCTACAAACACAGTTTCTTTCATTAATTCTTAACAATGAAGCATCTGCACAACTATCTTCATTATAAGTCATCATCACGCAACCAGAACCTCATTCCTGTAAAAAATGAAAGAACGAAAGGAAAAGGTTGCACTCATACCTGGTTAAAGTATGCTACACTCAAACCTCGATATAACAAAGCCAAATATAACAAAATATGGGTTATAACAAAGTCAATCAATAGTAGTCTTGCAATAAGTGTAGCGTTAGGAATGCACTTTTATAACGAATTATCGGATATAACAAACTTAGTTTGCTGTAAGATTCAACTTTGTTATAATGAGGTTCGAGTGTGTAGCTAAACAGGGCAAAAGCGTATGAAATGTGACTAACAAAAGGTGGCTGCTAAATTTTCCGCTGTATGTCAGATAATGAACAAAGGGGACACAGGCTAACATCATTGCGATATGAAACACAGCGAAATTTCGTTGACTGCTGCCACAATACAGTCCATAACATTTCCTTTCATGAGACTATACAGGCCAAAATGCCTAGTGCTTCAACTGCCACCTCAGAAAACATCCCAACAAGTGTTTCATGGTAAGCAGTCACTTTGAAACACAATGTACCCAGTGTGGTTGCGAGGCATATTTTAGTCAGTGTAAGGCATTAGGCCACATTTAAACCAGTCTACACATAAAATGAACGAAGAATTTTGCATTAACAGAAAAGGTAAAAAGCATGCGAGTGTACTGCTAGTGTTGCCACACTGTCAAAAAAGATGTTGCATGTTTTTATTGCACGTTATTATGTTTTATAATATAGCACGTTTATTTGCACGTATATTATGTTTTATAATATAGGCACTCTCGGCTGATTTTTATCGCCGGCGTCATGTCCCAGATGAGTGTATGGGCTTACATACGTAAAAAAAAGAACGAAAATAAAATAAAATGTGTAGAATGAAATTTCCAAGCAACGTATTGAGGATTCAAACCAGCGACCTCTCGTTCCGCAGCCCGCTGCGCTAGCCAACACAGCCACGTGTCATGCTTGTGCCTGTGATATAACGGCTAGCTATTTATATACACCATTTAGCGCTCACGGTTATGCAAATCTCAAAACAGCTTGAGCGTACTTTCTATCACCAACGCCTTTACATATTTTTTCAAATTTAAAACTACCCTTGCCACACGCAAGAACATCCACTCACGATGTAGAAAATAAAAGAACGCACGGCAGACAAGGCGTCAGACGCCACCACATGGCGGGAGACGCAGAAGGGTCATTTCAGGTGCTGCAGTTTAAAATAATAAAATAAAAAGAAAAATCAAACAGTGTCGGCTTCTGCATTGCAGACATTTTCAGTGCATTCCTCAAACGCGTAACAACGACAGTCGTTAGTTCACACTGGTCCAGTGTATACCTATGCATTTTCGAGTGTCCTTCCTTTGTGCTGTAGCCGTGGGCTGAAAAGTACCGAGCCGCTTGTTGCTCTTCGTGTGGTGTTCTGATTTCTTGCTGTCACAGTCATTGCTTGGCCTTAGTGGCAAAACTGTGACTTTTTTGTGTATGACTAACAAAGATTTCTTTTTTCATACACAATTTCCACACTTGCTTCCTTTCTCCATTTGTGAACCTTTTACATTACTTTGCACACAATTAAATTTTATTGACAGCTAGTGTTTCATTATTTGCCTTCCATTTCACTTGTCTATGCGATATTACTTCTGTATAACTATCTGTAGAAAGCTTATACTTATGAGGCTACCGTCAACAAACCTGGATGGAAGTTGTAGTAAACGAGACCAAGCATCTCGCAACGCTTGAGTTCGTCGACCAAAGTGGCCCGGCTCTTTTCCAGAACGACAGGGTCGGGGGAGCCACAGTTCAGCAGATACGATCCGTGAGGCAGAATCTGTTGAAATTTGAAGCAGAGACTAGATGTTTTCATGACAAGCATAACAATAATTGTTGGGGTTTAGCATCCTAGAACCAAGGTATCATAATTAGGGATGCCATAGTGGAGGGATTTAGACATTTTGATCCTGTTGGGCAGAGACAGAACCTGCGACCTTCAAATAACGCGTCTGATGCTCTACTAACTGAGATACCGCAGCGCCCATCCCCCCGTCCACTTCGTATGGTGGGTATATGTGTGCATTTAAATGTGGCAGAGTCAGTCGGTGCCACCTGTTGCCATTATGGCTAGAGTGGGACACCGTTTGGCTTCCCAGCGTCACGGCAAGAGAGAAAGTGGCAAAAGAGACGGAACCCTGCGACATTCATCTCTGTTGCCAGATGGTGTGCATGCCGCCGGACGCACTATGTTTTGGCCTCTGAGATTGAGTTCAACCTGTTGGTTTGACATCTAGGAGGTTTTGACTGGTAAAAGCTGAAATCCTCGAGTGCGCTCATGAGAGCTCTGCGAACCCCAGCGTGCCTCATGAGTTAACGAGGCCAGGCAGAGGCGAGAAGGAATGTATGATATAATTGTCCGTAACGGTCTTTGTACACAGCGTGTCACTAAATTTGTGGTGCGAATGGTTTGAAGATGTTATAGCCTTAACGCTGACAAAACTTCAAACAACCGTTTCAGGCTCCCTTTAGGAGTAGCGCCTGTGTGTGTGCACATGTGTGCCTTTTCGCATCCACGTTCTTTGTATGCTTTTAGTTCTCTTCATAAAGATTCATGCCTTCCCTCTCTCCCACTGAAAGATGCGGCCGTGATTGTCCATAGAGGAACCACATTTCACTCACCACATGGTAGAATAGGAATGCCAACTTGCCTGGTGTGGTGCGAAGTTGTGCTCACGGCATGCGTCACGAAACCGGTTAGCCGCCTCCTGGATGAGTGGCTTGGCAGCCCACTGACGCTGTGAACGTAGGAAAAGGCCGAACGACCTGGCTCCCATCGACACGGCTCTGCTTACCGCAAGCTCTAGTCCACCTGGAACAATGATTTTACTCATGAAAACGAAGTATGAAAAGGTCCATGAAATAGTTTTTTGTAATTAGGTCAGTTACTGAACTATAATTGAAGTAATTTGCACCATAATTGCACTGGATCCAAGAACTTTATTTCCTGGGATAAGGTGCTTGTATCCAGTGACTTCGTTTAGGAAGGGCAGTCACATAAAGTAACACTGGAGGGGGGAGTCCTGACTTTATTGTTTTTAGTAGCACGAAAACCCCTCCATAGCATAAATACTATTAATGTATGCTTACAGTGGTCCCACTCAATTGCTTTAATTAATGGTAGGTGGTAGACGAAAAGCACTGAAGAGAGGGGGGGGGGTGCTGACACATTCTTTAGAAAAGAGCAGTCGCCCACCCCTCTGAATCCGCCACTGAGCTACAGCCATGGGCAACTGCTGGGGGGTGCAAAATGGGCACTTGCCCCTGACTTGAGCTATTCACGCGCTGCCCCTCTTGCCACAGCTGCAATTCGAAGCGAATAAGCATCCCCCAAGATATCTGTTCACACCAGAGCTACCAGTTCCGCAACAATAAGTGGATTTGTGCTTCTTTTTCTAACCGTCTCGTTTGTAAAATTTTTCAGTTGCTTGTCACTTTTTTCAGGCTTATTTTCATTTTTTGAGTTGACACAGTTATTCGAATGATCATGCATTAGCAAATAATATGTTAGTCATTCACCGATAGCATGTTTGTGAATGACTGATTAGCTGAGCATAAAAATAAAAGTCCAACAAACGTAGGGGGAATCAACAAGTAATGTTAATAATGCACTGACAACCGTGCACTGAAATGAATGGAGACTGCTGGAGAGAAGGGCGAAAAGTATGCTTTCGGTCACACTTGTGCTTATTTTTGCTGTACAAAATAATTAAAGTGATTTTTTCAACTTTCCATTGTACTCAAGTGACATGTTAAATTATAATTAAGAATATTTTAAAGAATGGGAAAATTCATATTTTCACTTCTTTTCAGGCATCCTTGTAAAAGTCGCAGTGCTTTTATGGGGCTCCTTTCCTGAGAAATGTTTGTTTGTTAGTTTGGCAGCATATAGAAACTGGCTGATGCCCGTGGCTGAGGCCCCATTAGGGGAATGAGGGTCTTGAGAAGAAGTTCTTATTCATTATCCCATCTTGTAGAAAATTTGCATGCATATGCATCACTGAATGAAGATTTCAAATTTTCAAACTGATTTCAACTATCTCATTAAGAAAGGAAGTAATGACACATTGTTATAGTCCATACCACAGGCTAAAGCAAATTACTAAAAAAACGCTATTTCTTTGATAATAAGTAAAATTCAAACTGGGATGGTAAAAAAATAGATCTCATTAATTAGCTCGTACTTTACAAGTGACTACAATTGCATCAAGGTTGAGAAGAAAAATAAATGCATTGGCCTGTAGTTCAGGTGTTGCTGAAAGGAATGATACGAAGTTAGTATAAAAAAATAAGTTCACAGAAACTTCTTTAACGCTTCCATAAGGCATATTCACTTTAAAAAAAAAATGACCAAGCTGAGAAAAGCTACTTTCAAGTTTGAAAAACATTCATGATATAATATATAAGGGACCAACAACTGATTTTTTTTTACCCTGTTTATTCTGGTGTGACAGAAAGCTTACCCTTCGTAGTGTTCGTAGCTGCCGTAGTTAATCCCAAAAGGATGTAGTTATTTTATAAACAGTATTTTCAGATCTGAAAGGCTCTGAACATAGATGAGTCGTTTCATCCAACAACGCTGAGCATCGATAGCGATGCCGGTAGCTTTTCTGGCGACTTGTGCATGATGCCATTGTTCTGCTTTTGCAGGACTTCCTGTAACTATGCTTAACCACGTTTATTCTGAGCTTCACAACTATTTTTGAAAGTAAGTTGTTACAATGAGACGATGCGGCTTTGTACAGCTTTGCCGTATTTGTACTGCGTTGCCTATGCCTGTGCCCAAGGTTGATGCGCCTGTGTCGTTGATGGCTTGTCCCGTCGTCGTCACTGTCTCGACACATGAGCCAAGCCAAGTTACCGAAAACGTCACTGCGCGTCATTTTTGAGACAAATTGTAAAAAGAAAAACCCCATCGCTGGAAAATCTTAGCGACCTGGTAACTGTGTGCACAGTTTCATGAGAACGCACGAAAATGGCTAAAGACGAGCATGGGATGATTACGTCATGCGAAGGCAGCGCCACTTTAGTGCGTACTACTAACACAGGCATATATATTCACATTTATATTATCTTTTAGTAATATTTTTTATTGTAAAGAAGGAAACAACATTTCTATACTAATAGGAAAATTGTTGACCATGTACACTAGTTTATGGTCAGATAATTAATGGCACATCAGATAATTATCTGATGTGCCTAATGGCACAACAGATATTTGCAGTTTCTGCTACCAGGTGACGCCACAGGCTATTTCCGCGATTTTCTGTTAATAAACAAAAATATAACTTCACTTTTTTCACGAGAAAAACAGGGTTGGTTTGAGGCACTATGAGGGACAATCTTTCTATCCATGCAGTCATCTCATTTCATGTCCCTTTAAAGAAAAAAGAAAGGCTAGCTTGCCTTAATATTTTTCAGAGCATAATTTGGACGTTAAATACTTTTCAATTATGATGTCCAGCAAATTACATTTTTAGAATTATATGCTATTTCAATATCCTCATTGCCCTTAGCTCTTTACGGTCCATTGTCAGTCCCCTCCCAACAATGCAACATGGCCGCAGCAGTGTGTCGTGCGGCTTTGCTTGACCAGTTCTTTAGCGGCGATTCACGCGCGCGTCTTGTGACTGCACTATGCATCATCTCGAAATGATTAAGTCAACTTTTCCACTCAAGCTTTGATTTCTTTAGTGTCAGATTAGAATGGACTAATGGTAGTTGAAGCCTTTAAAGGGAGAAGACCACTTGTCGCAACTTGTGCACTCGCAATGTATAATAGTAAGCAGGGCACCGAAACATTCCTGGTAATGACCCAAAGGACCTATGAACATGGATCAATATTTGTGTGATAAATTTTCAGAACCATACATCTCACAGACTGTTTAGGGCACAGTTCAACACCAATGCAAGGGCATGTGTTGGCTGTGTATTCTACTTTGACTAGTCTATATACATCTGGGCTGGCTGTTGCAATGTAAAAAGTGAGAGAAGAGCAGAATGCAGAGGACTGTGCCGACAACAAACAGAATAAATGAGCAGCGACATAACCAAAGAGTAAATGAAAACTCTTCATCCCTATATGTACCATAATGCATACAGAAAAATGACAACAACCATTAGCAATGCTACCAGTGCATACAGTGGTACAATTAGACATGTATCACTTAAAATTGTAAGGTAAGCAAAGTGTTGGCTGATCAAAAGTCTCAATAACTTTCATGTGTATTTTGTTGGCACTCTTTGATGTGGTAGCACGAATTTTTTACATTTCACATATGTAAGGTTCAAAGGTAGTCTACATTATCATCATCAGCTTCTTTTATGTCCACAGCAGGACCAAGGCTTTTCCCGCTGACTAGTGATTACTTGCATTGTACAGGTTGATACTACTTCGTGCCAGCAAATTTTACAGTTTCCTCACACTCATTCACTGCTAGCAGCTGCACTTTCTTTTTGTCACTTTTATAATGTCCAGCCATATTCTACGCTATACATTATGTGGCCAGCCAACTCTACATTTTCCCCGTAATGTCAACTATAATATTGTCACAGGTAATGGGTATGAGCCATCAACTGTAGGTGGAATCCTTTGGAAGTGAAGAAAGAAGAGAGCTTTTGCGTCCTGGTCTGAGGGCAAGCAAGACGTCGTTTCGTCGCTGTCTGTAATTACGTTCGTGGCACTGGTGGAGGTGCTGGGTAAATGCGCCTCGGCTGCAGATTTTCAGCCGACACACCCAGCTACTTGGAGACAGCTACAACTCCCACGGCAAGAAGCAGTCGCCGCCTGCGAGGACTATCTCCCGAGCACGGTCCCCTCTCTTAAGACGAGATGGTAACTTCAACTAACAACCAAGCGAGTCAAACCATCGACTTCTTGCTTGCCCTCAGACCAGGACGCAAAAGCTCTCTTCTTTCTTCACTTCCAAAGGATTCCACCTACAGTTGATGGCTCATACCCATTACCTGTGACAATATAGACCACCCTTGTTAAATTTCTGATCCTAACTGCCACCTTCGATGCTGTGTGTAGCTTGACTTCATTAAAGTTACTGTATCTGGTCACAAAGTGATGTGTGGCACAGTCAGATTAGTGGGCGCCATGAACATATGACGGAAATAAAGGACATTAGCAGTGCAAGGTTAAAAAAAAAAGCCGGGGGAATTTTTATGACTGCAAAAGGTTTACTCAGACTTCGCACAAAATTACGGATGTTTTGCCATCTATGGTAGGTGGAATCCTCAGTTTACCATTTGTTGCCATCACATACTGAGGATGCCGCCAGCACAGGCAGCAAAAGATCTACGCCTTTTTCTTAATAATTTGTGTCAGAATAAACTTTTTTCAATTATGCAAGATTGTGGTCTGCATTCTACACTTACCACTCACGGACATGTGGGCTCCAACAAACTTGGAGTTCTTCACAGTTCCTTTTTTCAGCAGCTTAGCCTGGGATACTGTGCCATTTGTTTTCTTCTTCTTAGGCAGGTGTGTCGGCACTATCAGCCACAACAGGTGAAGATGAACGCTTCACCGTAACTGGTGGACAAGGCAATGCATTTGAAAGAGTGCGCAACTTCTTGAAACAGTAGCCTTGGTGCCAGAAGCTTTGTCCACACTCATTGCCTCCTGAGGCTCTACCTTTACAGTAACATCACTGGCAAATCCATTGCTAGATGGCTTGTTGATTTGGTCAGGTGTCTTTTGCTTCAAAGCAACATCTTTTTTCAATGGCTTCGAGCTCCTGCCAGAAGTCTGTGGCTTGCATGTTTTTGTCACAACTGCATTCTTAGATGCCTTTTCTTTAGCTGACACAGCCTTTGCCTTAGTCTTGTCATGTGGAGACTTGTGGTGACTGTTCTGAGAAGATGACTTCTTTGTCGACTTTTTGCTGGTTTCTTTTGGTGACACTGCAGCAACAGTAGCTGCCTTGCTGGACGTCCTTGTCTTCCGTGGTGCCATTTCTACAATGAAACCTGTAGTGAAAGAAAAAAGAACAACACAAGAACATAAAGCGAAGTAATTACATCACCTTGGGCTAGACTAGGGATGCCAAATGACACTTATGACTCTTTTAAAGGCTACTACATGTTGTCCGACGTTGGTACAAAAATCGTAAATATCTTTAAGATTTAGGTCCGACACGCGCCAGTTGGGCGCGCGTTGGACGTAAGTTGGTAATTCAATCAGACCATGCAGCACTTGCGTAACGCAAATGCCGCATGTTCTGCTTATAGAACTGCACATTAACGATTGGCTTTGGCATCTACTTAACCACCACGCACCAACAATTACACGCAGCACATTAGCAACTTGACCATACCGCCATTAAAAGCCAAGTGTGAAATCTTGATTATGAGCACGTCTCTTCTCAATAACGGACAGAAAAGGCCACTCTGAGAGTGAATAACGCGGCGCCACTACCTGGAAGCGCGCTTGGTAGTCGTGTACCAGGTACCACGCGCCGCCGTGACGGAGCGAGAGAGTTTGGGAGGAAAAAAAAAAAAAAAAACTAGTCGCTCATCGAGGTGGCGCTCATGCACGCCGCTGGTTCGTCGGGCGGAAAACCTCGAATGTCCTCCGCCGGCAGCGAAACATCGGCTGCTCGGCCCAACGGCGGCGTGACCTTGCGCCTTTTCGAACGCGCAAAATAAACAAACCGCCCCGGCCGGCGGCCTGCGAAACGAGAAGGAGAAAGGCGAAAAGCCTCGGTCGGGACAAGCCACGACGATAAGGTGGTCATACCGAAGGCAGCAGCGGCTACAGTGTATCAATCCTTTCCTCCGAGCACTCGCGGTTGGCCCAAGATGCGCATGCAGTCGAGACCTGTGGCCTTCGGCCCCGTTCCGTGCGCTTTCGCACAGCACCCAACGAGCGAGAAAACCACGGTGTGTTTCACTCGTGGAAACGAAACCGGATGGCGCCACTTCCCCGTCCACTCCTTGCGCGTGGCGCACCGTAGGTGTTCTGTGGGCGCACCGATTGCGCTGCGAGTTAGCCGTTTGCCATTTCCCTCCGCTCATTTTCCTCTTATGTGCCCCTTTTTTTCCCCTCAGACAAGGCCTGCTCTCTGATCATATAACATATAATCTTTTCAAACACACATTAAAGTGTTATAACTAGTACGTAAACCCGGTACGGAATTACGGTTTCGTCTTACCGCTCCTCTTTTACCGCGCTTGTTGTGCTTTTGCCGCCTCCTGATTATAGTAAAACCACCCCAACACCACAATCAGTGGCCTAGCTAGGGGCACGGCCGGACTCGACTCCTTCTCCGGCGCTCGGAAGGAGCGTCGAGTCCGGCCGTGCTAGGGGGTGGTAAACAGAAATCAAGAAGCTCCCACCCCCGGAAAAATTTCTGGCTACCCCGCAAATGCTTTCTTCAAAAAATTACTATCACGCCTCAATGTGGCCTCTCAGTGTGGCAGCTTGGGCTAGTTGCCTCCCAACTCACGCATTGTCAATGAGGAACCTGTTGGTCGGGGGACGGAACGTCACTCGCACAGAAGCAGCGGAAAGGGAGGAGCGGTACAGTAAGCGAAGTTTGAGATTGGGCTAGTTGGTAAGGCGTCGTCACCCTTCATTGTTCCTTCTCCGTTTCTGCACTTATTGCTAAGGTATGGTAAGACCGCACCTTTTTTCCGTAGCTTCCTAAAATTATCATTTTTTTTTTCTTTTTCGTAAGCCTAGTGGTACTCTGTGACACATTTCGTTGATAAAAGATGGTGTGCCGAGTGGTTTCATTTTGTGCACGTTGCACTTCAACAATTTTAACGATGATTATTGTAGCGCCGTTACCGCATTCCAGTCCACAGACCCCATCTCCCTTGAAAAATTGAATTGCTGAAAAATTGAATCTCTGGAAAAAACAAGAGAGACAGGAAGAGCGCTGCGCTCTTTCCTGTCTCTCTTGTTTTTTTCTTCAAGTTTGTGCAGCAATTCAATTTTTCAAGTATGAACCAACTAGTCTGCAAAAAAGTATTGCTTCCCCATCTCCCTTCATTTTCTTTGTCGAGCAAATTGTAATCGACATTCCTGTAGTGGCCACTATTCATTTGATGAATAGGCTGGAAACCAGTGTAGCAAACGAGGAGGCCTGGAAGTCACATTTCCGCAAGGCGAAATTCACCATCTTACACTCGTCCGCCCGCTCTTCTTGTACTTCAACACCTGTGCAACTCACTCAGCCGTAAGACTCGCTAGTTTATCTTTGTTTTTTTTTCTTTTTACTGTGACTTGATCTTGATCGCGCAAGTCGCACATATTGCTTATACGCTTTGACACTTTGACAATTTAGTACACAGTTTACCCACCGAACTTTGGTTATTCATGTCTTTATTCGCTCGTAGAGCCCCGCCGCGGTGGTCTAGTGGCTAAGGTACTCGGCTGCTGACCCCCAGGTCGCGGGATCGAATCCCTGCTGCGGCGGATGCATTTCCGATGGAGGCGGAAATGTTGTAGGCCCGTACGTGGGCTCAGATTTGGGTGCACGTTAAAGAACCTCACGTGGTTGAAATTTCCGGAGCCCTCACTACGGCGTCTCTCATAATCATATGGTGGTTTTGGGACGTTAAACGCCACATATCAACCAATCGCTCGTAGAACAAAGAAATTTACTGTATATGTCATAGCGTCAGTTGAAAAATTACTGTCTACGCTCAATGTTATCTTACATTGTAGAAGAAGATTAAATTTTATCTTACAGTCGGGTCAGCACAAAAAAGTCAGGCCTTACAGTCGGACAGAAAAGAAAAGAAACATTGCTCTTCTTTCATCTTCCTATCATCTTAATCCAATGGATAAAGAACCCTGTCAGTTTTTAGCTGTGACAGACTTCTCCCCAGAAGAGGAAGATCGAAGGCGCCTAATTGCCCCTCTAGGACTTTCTGAGCGTGCTTCATCTGGAAATTGGTCCACTTTGCCCAGATTGTGGTGAATATTGTTATCCGAGTCACATGCTCGGGCAGTGTCACATTTGCAATAAGCGTAGTCCATGTAATACTAAAAAAATGATATATGAACACCGATGCGTCAGTAAATAGACACAGATTCAAAGCAGTCGCATATCAATGCGATAGACAGGAAGCAGGCCAGCATCTCATGTTACAGGCATACCCACTATTGGGGATTGGCCAAAAATCGAGTGGTTTAAAAAAAAAATCATTGTTCAGCAGGCCTGTTGCGCTCGAGGCTTGACGTGTATCCTAGATATAAAATAGTTATCATCATCATCACGAAGTGACACGCACCTTTTTTGAGCCTCTTCCTCTTCGGTCCCGCAGACATGTGCGCCGACTTGTCCGGCGTAGGATGCAGTAACTCTGATAGGCGAGAGAACGAGTGCACCGAAAGAGATGCAGAAAGAAATAGAAAAATTCTTGGCGAGAAACATTTCTTAGCGAGGTGATATTCGAAGCCTCGTACCAATGATCCGTAGGCGAGCGTCCTGATCAGCCAGCTATCCAGGCACGCTAGTGGGGCATAGCCTAGCCTTAGCATGACGATAGTTATTGCGCGAGAACAAAACGACGACACAGAGACAAGAAGGACACTAAGGACATAGCGCTCGTGTCCTTCTTGTCGCTGTGCCGTCGTTTTGTTCTCGCTCTATAACTATCGTCATGCCATACCAACTAGCCCAAGCTGCCGCACTAGCCTTGCAAGGGTGTTTGTTGGAAATGGAAGTGAGAGTGAGTAGGAGAGGACAAAGAGCGAGAGAAAAAAAGGAAGAAGACCTGACCCTGAGTGCGAGTTCTAAAAAATTTAAATCTTGTGTAGTTATTCGTGTAGTCTTAAGTCCTGCTCTAAATGCAGGTCCACTCTGTTAAACTCGAGTGAGGGCGTCGCACGGACACCCCAGTTAGAATTACTGTGTATGCTTCCTTTAGGTATATGCTACCTAAAGGTAGCATACACAGTAACTATAACCCCAGTGATTCCCGATCGTGGTGTACTTCCGCTGTTCCGTTCACCAAGCTGTCGATGACGTCAGCGTATGAGGTAAGCATGCACGGCTTCCCCGGCACGAGCAAGACTCGCAAACTTTGTGTGCGACATTAGCGCCACTTTTTGCCGCATTTATCGACTTCCTCCTGGACACAGCAGTGTTTAGATAGGCGTCGTCTACAGCGAGTACAGTCAGGTTGCCCCCCCTCCCCCCACCTTGAATTAGCGCCGGAGAGAGGAGAAATTGTGTAGTTTGCGAGGTGGTGGCGCCCCCTCTTGTGCAGCGGAGCAGTAAGCTGCATGTTTTCGAAGCATTTGTTAGTGATTGTAGGTTAATTAGTGTGAATACTTATTGTTTGTATTAGTTAATTATAATAAATCAGGCTTCGTTTATATTAATTTGATTTTGAGCATTGTGGGCCTTGGTTTAGGCCCATATCGACTACTTGTGTGTGTGTGTGTGTGTGTGTGTGTGTGTGTGTGTGTGTGTGTGTGTGTGTGTGTGTGTGCGTGCGTGCGTGCGCGCTCCCCCTCTCTTTCTCTACCGTTATTTAAATGTCCCTCATTCCTTTCCCCTGTGCGGGGTAGCAACATCCACACCTTTGCTCCCTCTCGTTTACATTCCTTCCTTCAGTTTTTCATGTGTATATACATGCAAACGCGCGTGAACAAGCATAGAGTAACACTACTTGAATATTTTTTGAATACTATATAAGGCAACCATTTACGAAATAGCCCAAGAATTGCACAGCATTTTATTTGAAAACAAAACATTAGTTAGCTTTAAAAAAGGGGCCTTACGATGGCCGACAAAAAAGAGATGGAGGTAGTGGAAAACACCTACTCGTCGCTACTCCAACACTACAAACTGGAGCGACGGGTATACCCTCCACACCATCCAAGACTAACCAAAGAGAGCGTGATTTTCAGACGCCTACAAAGCAACACTTACATACATGGCATATTAATGCACCGCCTCTACGCATGGACAAGTGGCTACATGTACCCGCTCTGCAGCATACCAGACACCCTGGCACACTTGCTCCTGGAATGCCAGTGCCATGCCAGCCACGACGTGCTACTGCAGCGGGACCTAGCCCCAAGAATAAACGACGAACACCTAATGGAAACGTGGGAGGCCAAGCTCGTCCTCGAGGACCTGGAAGACCAGCGACAACTCGTCGCCAGGGCCAAGAGGGCAGTCGAAGCCAGAGGGTTCCTGGACTATAGGGAACCCTCCCACCTTAGGGTGACACTGGGCCTCGCTCGGAACACCGTTTCTAAATAAACGTTTATTTCTCTCTCTTAGCTAGGCGATGGCGGGATATACGTATAGCGTGATCTATGGACAAACGGACAGATGGACGGATGGGCGATGTCCGAAGAGGGACTTCCTCCAGGGTCGGTTACAAGATCGGCGTTTACATTGCGTACAGTAACTGTGAGACCCGGTATTAATATGTTTCTCTAATCCTGGCGCCAAATGCTCCTCGAAAATAAGATGCGGGAGAGACCTTCGTCGAAATGGCGCATCTCTGAAATGTCGTAACCGCACTGTAGACGGAGTCGCGGCAGACTCCGTTGTGCAATGCCGACTGTTTGCTCACAGAAAAACGATTAGACGCCCCATCGGGAACCGAAAAGGCGTGTCTCCTTTTGCGTTTCCAGTCGCGTGCTTTTCAGAGCGTCAAAAGAAAACCACACCCCGGGCCCTCGTGCGGTGGCTAACAATTCTTCCCGACTGCAGGTCGCAGAAGACGCACAAATCGGCGCACCGTGTGATCCCATCTTTCCTCGCCGGCGCGAGCGTCCAAGCGCGACCGCTGGGATACGTTATGCTCATCTCAGCGTAGCTGGCCGCCATCAATCAGTGACTGTGACGTTACGCGTGGTTACCCGAAAAATTTCAAGGCCGGACGACGTTCTTCGCGTCTG